CAGCTTGTTCCCCTCTCCCACCCCTCTCTGTGTACAGTAGAGCCTCCTGTCCTGACTGGAGGAGCTCACCCAGCTGTGTCTGGAGAGAAGCCAGGGTATCAGCTTGTTCCCCTCTCCCACTGCCTTTGGTGAAAAGAAAGTTTAAACTCATTTGTCTACCTGCTATAGTTCTAAATGATCTCTGAGGATCCAGACGTATTTCAACTTCCTTCATTCTTTCTCTGGCAGTTCTCCAGATCTGTGTATTTCATATTTATTTCCTCCTGTGTGATGACTTTGCATTCTCTTACAGTAAGACAGTGGAAAGTCCCATCAAGAAAATATTCATCATCACTGTCTAGAAGCTGTGACTTTGCTGTTTCTTACAGAAAGGAAAAATTCCAGGTAAAGGTGTCACCTGACATTTGTTCACTGATCAGCTGTGACCTTGTTTATACATAAGTCTGTCAGTGTGGGACCCTCCCTTTAGACTGAAGAAACTCAGTTCCTCCAGTTTGTCAGTGTGGGACACTCCCTTAAGACTAAAGAGACTCAGTTCCTCCAGCCTGTCAGTGCAGGACGCTCCCTTCGGACTAAAGAGACTCAGTTCCCTGTGCTTGTCCGTGAGAGTGTCTGTATCCGTGATGGACTGGCGTCCCATCCGGGACGTATCCCGCCTTGCTCCCGTTGCTTGCTGGGATAGGCTCCGGCTGCCCCCTGTGTGCTGTGGGGTCCAGAGTCCTGGTGCCAGTTCGCCCCCACCCCAAGACACTGTCGCCAAGTTGGTTTCCTCAGGGTTTTTTTTATTGGAAAACGTTCAGACGTGACAGGCGCGTGTGTGTGTGTGTGTGTGAGACAATCGCATTCCTGGGCATTCTCAAAAGTGCACGGTCTCAGGGTACAGGACTAAGGAGGCATGCTGTCCTTCTCTACACGGGTAAATCCCCTTCTTTTCCCCCAGTGCTACCGGGGTGCCTTGTTTGGAGTACTAAGGAATAATACAGGATCTAAATGCATCGGACGCTGCAGTACTGAGACGCCGTCGGCCACGTGCATTGTGGGATACATGCCCCGGGGGGGGGGGGTGGAGAGGCTGTGCTCTACCAGAGATGAGAAGAATCAGGCGTTGGGGTCCCCTCTAGCATCCCCCTGCCCCCCCGATTCCTACCCTACCTCCTCTTGGGCCGTGACCTCGCTCTCTCACGACCAGAATCGCGGCGGATTATTCTCGCTCTGAGAGGCCCTCATACTCGGCCCGGCCCCGCCGCCAACCTGGGGTCGGGTGTCCCCGGGGGGGCTGATCTGATCCTGTGGCTGTTCCCTCTGCCCAGTGACGGACCATTGCTGGAGTCGATCCATGTCGGGGATCACCAGTCACAGTCGGCTGGAACTGGTCCTGGTCACAGTCGCAGTCGCAGTCGGCTGGAACTGGTCCTGGTCACAGTCGCAGTCGGCTGGAACT